AAGGCGCGTTTTAACACATCCAAAAAAAGGCCCCTACCACCAAAAACACTGGTTTTTCGCCAAAATTTGGTTAAAGAAAATAACGGGGAGTTTAAGGGGGAAAGTCGCCAGGTTTTTTTTTTTAAAATCGGGTTCCCTTATGAACGCCAACTTTCTAGGGAGTACCACCTGAAACACAGTGTCATACTACATCACAGTTTTAAAAGCTAGAATAATGTCAGGATCAAACAACGTTAAGACGAAAGGACACAAACACAAAAACACGATTTTCAACTATTAGCGCATAAACTATTTAAAGGTAATCCACGTAGGCGCTGAAGCGAATGGTATTGTGTGTGTATAGAACATATACACAAGTGGGAAAAGCCTCCATTGGGGGCATACAGAACTAAATAAAAAAGAAAACAATTCAGTATCAAAACCCCACTTATCCGGGGGGTTACACATGGTGTCAAGGGGTGGGGGAAGTAAGGACAAAATAAAAAAGGCAGATCCTGGTGCGACTCACACGCCGCGTGCGTGACCGAGCACATATAATACCAACTGTGTGACATAGGCAAGTTCTAGAAAGTACAGACGAACGTTACGTTGAAACTGTGTGACAACGTATATGGTCGCATAACTGTTTAGCGGTTGACTAGTTTGTCGAGAATGTTGCTTGTCAGCGTTGGCCATAAAAGTGAAGGACCCTTTTCCACACCATTAGGAACCGTGGGCAGACACCACTAGACCAAAATTTTATTGACTAATCGGCAGGCCTCACTTACTTCCCAAAACTGTACCTGGTCCTCCTTCAAGACTTGAAGGACATTGAAGCTTTGATCATCTTTGAATAATGCAGCTCCAGTTTGAACCCTCGACCTTCTGATTCGCAGAGGAGCGTCTAAACAACGACTGCTCCCCAAGTATGGACTATAAGCTAGTTGTGTATCCAGTACAGGACGTTGCAGAAACCAACGTCCAGGATATGTTGCTTTGGCTGTTGTTTGTATTTCTAGACCAAACTGTTTACGTTTTGTTTTTTTTTTTTACGTTCCCCAGTTTTGTTTCCTGAACGGCCAGCTCTCGGTACCAATGTCCAAACCAACCCAAGACAAATCGTCCGCAGCTGAGATTGAGCCCTGCATTACGGCATTACGAAACGCGTTGGCAACGCCCAAGCCACAGACTCCGACTGATGTTTGACGAGAATATGTGTTGCAATCCTGGACTTGACCATTAGGTTTAGTGTAGAAAGTAAAGGGTCCCTTTCCCGCCTTTGACGCTACAGGTATATAGTGCAAGACCTCTATTTATATGGATCACTCGGGTCCGTATCAACCTAGCTCCTATATGGGACGCATTTTTCGTTATTTTTAAATCCCCACTCGGTTTGTTGTCAGGTACCCTAATATAACCTAACGGTTTAACGGGATTTTGTAGACTTGTGTCCGGGTGATTCTTATCCGAATAGTTGCACTTTGTGTTACTGGGTGTTTATCGCTCTTTGTGTGTTCCTGGTGGGTTTGAACGGCGCTCAGTAAGTCAGTCAGTCAGCCAATCAGTCAGTCAGTCAGTAAGGCAGTAAATCAATCAGCCAACCAGTCAGTCAGTCATCCAGTCAGTCAGTCATTCAGTCAGTTAGTCAATCAGACAGCCAGTAAATCAGTCAGTCATTCAGTCACTAGTTCAGTCAGTCAGTGAAAATAGATTCTTACTTGTAGATAGATCTGCAGACATACAGAAGTACGTTTGTATCTAAGATTAAATCAACAACACGGAAATAGATTTTTATGTCTAATCAAATCCTCGGATATAGAGAAAATGATTTGAAATCGATTCGAATCGTTTGAACCACGATGGACAGCAGAGAACTATGGGAACAGCCATTTCTGCACAGGACACATATGTTTTTGAAGCAAACAATGACAAAATAACACACACATCAAACGTCACAGACTGCACAAATGGCAAGATTCCAGATACTGAAAATAGCTGCTAGACTGAGATCAAAGAAATCACGAATAAATAGATGATTTGGGTTTTGCAGCCCGAGATGAAGTTCAGTTGTTGAATTAAAACGGAGAGGATAAATTGATGAATGATGGATTTTCCAGAGAAGTAACACAAATTTTTGTTTCCGTTCAAAACACTACAAACTTTTATTGACTGGTGCTGTCCTGAATAGAAAAGATTAAAAGATTACTTGAAGTGATATGTCTGACGTTTTTCTAATATAGATTTACCTCTAGTAAAGTGATATCAACGCATGTAATGTTTCCGTGAGTAGGTGGGATGGAAGAGCAATTACTCACGGAATCACATGCAGGAACTAAAGCAGACTTAATACACACAACAGAGGGAGCTAGAGAATGAAGTTAAAAAGATGGGAAGGGCAGTTGGAGAGCTGCAGCGAAGGATAGAACGACGGCCTGAGTTGACTGAGGGCATATGCTCCGCTGAGAGATAGAAATAAGAAGAAGATGAAATGTTTTTTGACTTGACGGAAATTCGTGGGCCAACGCAAATTCTGCAGACCACAGATTAAAGGATAAAGAAAGGCACCATTTTCCACCCCTTTAGGCGTATAAGGCAAATCGTGCGAGACCTATAAACCACTGAGTAAGGTAATGTGGTCACACACCGCCCTCTGCATTTTCTACATGTTACCCATTTGGGAGCCAAGAGCAGTTTTGAAAAAAAAAAAAAAACAGTTTGGCTCCGTTAGGACTCGAACCCACGACCTCTGGATCCGCAACAAAGCTCAAACCGCGACACCACAGGGGCTGCCACTGATTTAAGAACACTGCTGTAAAGGAAATTCAATTAACCGTGCACGCGATAACCGGGACACGACAAAAAAAGAAATTCATCAGTCAAGAGAATAGACGTCCCAAATGTGATAGTTTTAGATGAATGGAACCGGATACCACAGCACTTATCGTTCTCTAAGTAATTAATAATTGCGTCTTGAGAGCTGATTTATATTCCGGACTCAGTGACCGCTGTTTAGACTGTTATTGCCCTGCTTCCTTTTCATCCTTGTCCCTGTCTCTCTTGTGTCATACAATACTATAATAAAGGGTGTTTTTAAAGTCTCACTATCCTTTGAATGCAGAAAGCATCTGCAAAAAAAAAAAAAAAAAAAAAAAACAAAGTATATGACTTCATTAAAAAACAAGCGTTTAAAGGTCATTAAATTAGTTACAAAAGTCAATGCTATGGTCTAACGTTTTTTAAAGAGACGTCTTCTTAATTCAATATTTAACAACATTCAAGAGACGTTGGAAGGCAACAATGAAATTCAGTATACCTCACTCAACAAATTTGTAACCGTGATGCGATGAGGATTTTGCTTTTTGTAATCAGGAAGTCTTGCTATAAATCTTCGAACAACCATCCGTGTGTATCGACCGACATTAGAACCCTTTGCTCAACCAAAAAAAAAATTAGTTTTTTTTTTTTTTTTTCTGTTGATAACACCATTCCATTTTTAGCGTGTAGAATTACTCCAGCAGACGACAGTCATCATCATCATCATCATGTAGCAGATCCTTTGCAGAACGTCGCTCTCATCACAGTCTGCCTGAAAGAAACTCGGTCTCTCACCAGTTCTCCCGCCTCATGCGCTTTCACACTCAAGGAGTCACTTAAATCCTGTGCCCATCTTTGTGTCGGTAGGTCCCTTTCCCTCCTTCCTGGTACCATGCCTTCTGCTATAATTTTTTCCAGTCCATCGTGGTGTTTGATATGACCAAAATATTTCAGCTTTCGAGAAATGATCCTGTTTATTAGCCAATCTTCCTCGATGTTCAGATCTTTTAAGATGTCAATATTTCTCATCTTTTTTGTCCAAGATATTCTGAGAATTTTTCTATAGCATTTCAGCTCAAAAGCCCCTATTCTCTTTCTTAAGGACTGAGAGATAGTCCACGACTCACATCCGTATGTAGCCACAGGAAAGATGCATGCTCTAAAAATTCTAATTTTTATCTCCTTGCTTGTGCTTAACCATAGACTTTTAAGGCTGTTCAATCTTTGCATTGCTATGGTCATCCTTCTTTTAATTTCTGTCGAACAGTCTCCATTGCTGTTTATTATTGAGCCTAGATATTCAAAGTTTGTGACATTTTCAATATCTTCATCATTTATTGTTATTTTTGAGTGACACTAGTTATACCTGTGGACATTATTTTCGTTTTCTTTAAATTCAAGAACAGATTTTGATCTTCACTGTGCTTTTGGACAGACGATTTTAAATTTTCTATTCCCTTTACGCTATGCGAAAGGAGGACTGTGTCATCTGAGTAGCGGAGTCGCGGAATAGGGTTGAAACCAATTTTGAGCGGATCATAACTGTCACAAGTCTGGTCATTTTTGACATTTCACCCCCTTTTGCACCTCGAACCAATCAGATGTTTCACCAGCTGCTCTGATAGCTGCTTGTTGTTTCATTATAAAGGGGCCCCGAGGCCCCCACAAGCAAAGAGGCCTCATGCTAACCTGTGTGTAAAGAGACATGCAATAAATAAAAATACACTTGACATTAAAAAATAATTCAAAAAAAAAAATATAAAGCCGAAATTAACACCCCCGCCCCCCCCCCTCCACAGTTTTGTTGAAGTTCCAATATAATAATTTTACGTTTTATATTATCGATTATTTACCTTTCATTCCTGCGATTGGTTGCCGCAGAGGCCCCAACGCACTGGTTTGCCCAGATGCCACAGCATACTGGTTTGCACAGAGCCCCCAACGCACTGGTTTGCCCAGAGGCCCCACCGCACTGGTTTGCCCAGAGGCCCCAACGCACTGGTTTGCCCAGAGGCCCCAGCATACTGGTTTGCCCAGAGGCCCCAACGCACTGGTTTGCCCAGAGGCCCCAGCATACTGGTTTGCCCAGAGGCCCCAGCATACTGGTTTGCCCAGAGACCCCAGCATACTGGTTTGCACAGAGGCCCACAATGCTGTTGAGACAGCCATGCTCTTTCTTATTCACACCTCTTTTGTTTCTTTTCCAGATCGGAGACTACCAGATGCCCTTTAGAATCTCCAGCCACCCTGTGTGCACCTATACGGCACGTATCAACCGCGTAGTGATTCTCACAGACTGCCCAGGGTATCCAGACCCTACTGAGGTCGTCTTCGATGCTGCAGGATGCGAGTGCCGGCTGTGCAACTCTGATTATACCAGCTGTGAGAATCTAACGGCTGACGCATCCCCTTGCCTGCCGGCACTGTCTGTTTTGTCATATATACAAATACAGCGTTTGCACTTGTTTTGTTAAAACTTGCTAAATGTTTGCGTCGCATTTACAATGTTGTGTTGTCATTTGATTTTTATGTTCATATTGTTTTTGGCTGTAGACGATACACTTTTTGGGAGCCAGCACGAAATCTCGCACACAGGGAGAGGCTGTGGGTTTCGTTATATATATTCATTATTATTTTTTTATCCTGAATTTTTCCCTCGTGGAACCCATCAAAGATGCAAACAGCGGTGAATGGAGAGTGAGAAGCAATAACGAAATTCATAATCCGTTTAACTGGCATAAAGAGAGCTAGTAATAGACTGAAATGGTTGGGGCGTATTGAAAGAGTGTCAGATGACAGATAAGTTAAAAACTGTACACACCAAGAAGATGAATGGTCGTAAACCACGAGGGAGACCAAGAAGACGATGGAGAGATAATATACAGACAGACCTGCAAACACTTGGTGTTTCTAACTGGAAAGAGAAGGCTAACCAGAGATATAAATGGAGGCGGGTGATATCTGCAGCAATGAACCTCAAGGGATCGGAATGCTGAAGAAGAAGACGAAGAAGAAGAAGAAGAAGAAGAAGAAGAAGAAGAAGAAGAAGAAGAAGAAGAAGAAGAAGAAGAAGAAGAAGAAGAAGAAGAAGAAGAAGAAGAAGAAAAGAAGAAGAAGAAGAAGAAGAAGAAGAAGAAGAAGAGAAGAAGAAGAAGAAGAAGAAGAAATGTAAAGAGGTTATCTGTTGGGTTATCTTTTTAGTACTCTTGAAAAGTCCTTTGGTGCTCAGACTCACCCGCTCCCCCCCCCCCCCCCCCCCCACCTCTCCAACCCGAACATATAGATCATCACAACGCAGCTGGCAAAACCTATGGTACCTTCGGTGTGCCTTTGGTGGTTGCCCGTGTTGATCTTCATTCCCATTTCTTGCATTGTTGTCCTGCTATAATTGAGTAATTAGGATCTCAGGTAATCACAAATCCAACTTCATAGCAAACGGATCAACCCGTAGTTGCTCCTTTCCTGTGCCAACGAAAACCAGACACAATGTCCATTACTGTCCCTTGTGACAAACACTGACACAGACTGCAGTCTCGGCAAAGCCAATAGCAAATACACGCATTAAATGCATAAGGCAGCTGGCAGAGGTGCCAACACAAACAGTGCGACACTATAAATGCGTTTAATCGTAGAGGAAGCAGCAGTTACAGCAGCTTATTAGTTGCACATGCAGTTATTAATCACATAGGGCATCACAAGTTATCTGTAGAAACAGGCTACTAGCCATTTTTTTAAATGGGGTGTTTAATTTATTGAAAAAGTGTGTCGTGAGAGTGGACTAATTATGAGCTACCTTGAAAGTTGGAGTGCATGTACCTAAGAGGCAATAAACCAACAGTATGCATATAATAAGTCATATCTGTAAAACAGATGTACACGCAACATTCAGATTCTAGAACAAAAGGATCAGAGGTGGACGAATAACCAGAACTTCCCACCAGAGTTTACAGCCGATAAACGCGAAGAAGAAGGAGCAGAAAAAACCAGTCGGATTCACAGTTTAACAAACGAAATGGGCTCTAACAGAGCAAGAGGTAGACGGTGAAAAGCATGGATTGGCAGCGTTAGGGAAATCTTTTATGGGCATGGAAGCGTTCATCCCTAAAACAACAACTAACGATTAACATGATGTTTAAAACCTGACTGACTGGACAGGCCCTGACTGACAGGGACAGGCCTCAGCTGCATGCAAACCAGAAGTCCATCGCAACTGACCACCAAAAGGTGGAGTGAGCTCGCAATAGAATCAGACAGTCAACAGAAATTGGTGACCCAACGGGATGAGATTAACATGATGTTTCAAACCTGACTGACTGGACAGGCCTCAGGCATGCAACCAGGAAGTCCATCGCAACTGACCACCAAAGGTGGAGTGAGCTGATCAGACAGTCAACAGAAACTGGTGACCCAATGGGATGAGATTAACATGATGTTTCAAACCTGACTGACTGGACAGGCCTCAGGCATGCAACCAGGAAGTCCATCGCAACTGACCACCAAAGGTGGAGTGAGCTGATCAGACAGTCAACAGAAACTGGTGACCCAATGGGATGAGATTAACATGATGTTTCAAACCTGACTGACTGGACAGGCCTCAGGCATGCAACCAGGAAGTCCACCACAACTGACCACCAAAGGTGGAGTGAGCTGATCAGACAGTCAACAGAAACTGGTGACCCAAAGGGATGAGATTAACATGATGTTTCAAACCTGACTGACTGGACAGGCCTCAGGCATGCAACCAGGAAGTCACAACTGACCACAAAAGTGACCTGATCTAGACATTCACACAGAAAGGTGGAGTGAGCTGATCAGACAGTCAACAGAACCAATCCTCGTGACCCAAGGTTGGAGTGAGGATGAGAAAATTGGTGACCCAACGGGACATTAACATGATGTTTCAAAACCTGACTAGGACTGGACAGGCCTCATGCATGCAACCAGGAAAGTCCATCGCAACTGACCACCAAAGGTGGAGTTAGCTGATCAGACAGTCAACATAAACTGGGTGACCCAATGGGATGAGATTAACATGATGTTTCACAACCTGACTGACTGGACAGGCCTCAGGCATGCCAACCAGAAGTCCACCACAACTGACCAACAAAGGTGGAGTGAGCTGATCAGACAGTCAACAGAAACTGGTGACCCAAAGGGACGAGCTTAATCATGATGTTTTCAGAACTGACTGACTGGACAGGCCCTCAGGCGATGCAACCAGGAATCCATCGCAACTGACCACCGAAAGGTGGAGTGAGCTGATCCAACAGTCAACAGACATTGGTGTACCCAACGGGGATGAGATTAACATGATGTTTCAAACCTGAATGACTGGACAGGCTCGGCATGCAACCAGGAAGTCCATCGTCAACTGAACCACAAAGGTGTAGTGAGCTGGATCAGCACAGTCAACAGAAATTCGGTGACCCTCCCAACGGGATTGAGATTAACATGTATGTTTTCAAACCTGACTGACTGGACAGGCCTCAGGCATGCAACAGGACGTCCAATCGCAACTGACCACTCAAAGGTGGATGTTAGGACTGTGATCAGACTAGTCAACATAAAATGTTGACCCAATGAGGATGAAGATTAAACATGATGTTTCAAACATGACTGACTGGACAGGCCTCAGGCATGCAACCAGGAAGTCCACCACAACTGACCACCAAAGGTGGAGTGAGCTGATCAGACAGACAACAGAAACTGATGACCCAAAAGGGATGAGATTAACATGATGTTTCAAACCCTAAACGAAGAAGAGTTTTACCCGCAAGCAGGGCCATCTTAACAGTATTAGGCCCCATGTGCTGAGGCCCCTTGCGACGACCATTCAAGGAATGAACTTGACGTAACATGGGGGAACCTGTTCTTGTGGGGCACCCGGGTCCAACTGACCCCCGGGTTAAGACGTCGTTGCACGCAAGAGTATTCCGAAGCTCCAGCAGCAACACCTAGTTCTCAAAAACGCCAGCACAAACATAGCTTCGAACACCGAAATCGAATCTGTAACCTTCCGCATACAAGGCAAATGGCTCAACCATTTCGTCACAAAGATAAACAATTTTATATGACTGAGAAGGAGTAGCTGGTCGAACGGTTAAGGGTCATGGTTTCTCCCGCGGAAGTTCCAGGATCGAACCCTCAATAAAGTTGTGCCCCCCCCCCCCTCCCTATCCGGTGGTGGCTAAAAAAAAGCATATCCTTGAGATAGAAAGGGTTTTAATAACAACTACTTGAGATTAAAAGAGTTAACCATGATAAAAATGGTAAAGGTGGGTCTCTGTGGCGAAGTTGTCAACCCCTTGGCCTCGTGTTCTGTGGGACGTGGGTTCGTTTAACGGAGCGCCTTTCAGCTCTCGAGTGTAATTTTTACGAAGATTCCTGGGTATCGTCGCGGGAGCTACGGAAGTCGTGCTCTGTGCGACGCTCTCTGCAGGCAGCTAGCTGTTCTACGGAGAAAGACTGAGCCTTATGGAATCCAGTCCGATGCAATGAAGTCGATCCTCTCAGATTCACCTCTACCTTTAACCAAGATATAATGTTAACGTCGAGATGATTCCCGTCACTGCACCAGATGTATCCGACATTACTTGGTCTCTCTTTGCAGAACATCTAGCCACCCGCTGAGAGAGTCGCACAGCACGAGCTTTAGCACAATCTTAGGGGATTTCCGGAAACACGTATCCTGTGAGCCGAATGACGTTTCTGTGAAAAGAAACGACGTCATTCAGACCCAAGGCAGACTGACGAGATCTCATCAGCGAGACCACCCAACTAAGATATTCAAGGTCTAACCAAGATATTAAATACGATTGATTTATTCATTAACCCAGTCATCTAAATGCTTAATTTATGTATAAAATATTTATTTATCTGGGAATTTAGCATACAAATACTCAGTTATTGAGCTATTTCTCAGACACACGGCAATCTCGACTGAACAGTGGACGGCAAGATACAGAACAAAACAAAAAAAATATTTAATCCAGATATTCAAGAAGACGCTTGAATTTATTTATATATCAAATATTTATTTATCTGGGAATTTTTCAGATTAAATACCCAGTTATTTACCAAGTTCTCAGACACATGGGAATCGCCGTTAAACGGTGGACGTTTAGAGTCGCCCAAGCAATTTCTGTAAAATTGAAAATCGATTACTTTGTAATTTCACGATTCGAGCAGATTTGGGAACTTATTCATAGTCGCTGAAACATAATCTAGAGCAAAGTGATTACTGAAATCGTTGAGAGTCAAGAATTCGGGCAGAACTGTGGCTAGAAAGAAATCACTAGACGGAATTAGGTTACATTTTCTGAAATGTCAATTGTGCTCTATTTAGTTTGATGTCTGATTGTGTGGGTGGTTGCTGAGATGCTCGGAATCAACATCATCCTCTCTTGAAAGCTGGAGGTGTTTTGGACATGGCAAGAGCCATGTGTTCTGGAGAGAGAACGGTGATAGACGATGC